TTTTTTTTTTTTTTTTTTAAGAAACTGACAACCTGATTCGTGAGTTCATATGAAAATGCATGGGACCCAGTAGAGCCAAAGCATTCTAGGAAAAGAAGAAGAAAATTGGAGAACTCACACTTTCCTACTTCAAAACTTACTATAAATTTACAGAACTCAGTACAATGTTATGCTGGCATAAGGATAAACACACAGATCAACAAAACAGAATGAAGAGTCCAACATTAAGCCCTTACATTCACAGTCAATTGATTCTGATGAGTGCCAAGGCAATTCAACTGGAAAGAACAGTCTTTTCAACAAATGGTGCTGGAAAAACTGTATATCCACAGGCAAAAGCACAAAGTTGGACCTCTTCCTTATACTACATACCACACTCAAAATAGATCAAACAATTAAATGTAAGAAACAATCTACAAGAAAAATCCACCATTTCTGGGGAAATGCTCCAGGACATTCGTCTGGGCAAAGATTTTGGGGGTAAGACTTCAAAAGCACAGGCAACCAAAACAAAAACAAAGGAGATTACATCAAGCTAAAAAGCATCTGCATGGCAAAAGAAACAACCACCAAAGTAAAGAGACAATCCACACAATGGGAGAAATGATGTGTGATCTGACAAGGGATTAATAAGCAGAATATATTAATATAAGGAAGCCAAACAACAGCAAAAAAAAACAAATAATCCAATTTTTAAATGGGCAAAAGATCTGAATAGACAGTTCTCAAAAGAATACATACAAATGGCCAAAAGATGTATGAAAAAATGCTCAACATCACTAATCATCAGACAAATGCAAATCAAAACTACGATATCATTTCACCTCAGTTAAAATTATACAGAATCAACCTAAGCGCCAATCAACAGATGAATGGATAAAGAAAAAAGTGGTATATATACAATGAAATATTATTCAGCTGTAAAAAAAAAAATGAAATCCTGTCATTTGCAGCAAAATGGATGGAACTGGAGGTTGTTATATCAAGTGAAATAAGCCAAGCACAAGAAGAGAAATATCGCATGTTCTTACTCATTCATATGTGGGAGCTAGAAAAGTGGATCTTGTGAAGATACAGAGTACCCAATAGGTGGTTACCCAAGGCCAGGAAGGCTGGAGGGGGTGAGAGGATGAAGAGAAGGTGACTAATGGGTATGAACAAGGTTTGACAGAAGAAATAAGACCTAGTCTTTAGTAAGTGACAATAGTTCACAATAATCTATTTTGTTTTAAAATAGAAGAGTAGAATTCAAATGGTTTAAACATAAAGACAAATATTTAAGGATGGTGAATATCCCAAGTACACTAATTTGATCTTTACAAATTATATGAATGTATTAAATTATCACATGTACCCTAAAACTATGTACATCTATTATGCATCTATGAAAACAAAACTACAATCCTTAGCTGTAAACACCCTCCTCCCAGCATTAAAAACCATATAGCACAATTGTATTTAAAATGGGACTGCTCCTTCGTTAGATGAGTTCAGGGCTTCACAAAAACTCATTACATTAATATAATCCAGCACGTTAAAATCATAGTGTCTTTTATTGTGCTTCTTGTTCTTTCATGTTTAATAAGCTTATTAAGTACAAGAGAAATGTAATGACATTTAAGGGTCTAAATGCCTTGATTTCAATAGTATTTTGTAAGTAAATGATCTAATAATTCAAGTACAATGCACAGAAATTCAGTAAGGGTGGATACTGAAATATAATATATTACTATACTTGATCCTATAGTAACAAATAATAATGAAACTATCAAGGATTTCAAATTTCTACTCCCATGAACTTTAAATAAGTTCTAGTCCCTTCAAGATAGCAAAAGAAAATAAGTTACCATACCCAATATCTGTAAGGGGTGGTTTATCTCTCCCTCTCTTATAACACAGGTAAAGTTCTGGGCTTTTCAGACTTCCATAGTTCAAGTTTGCTTGGAGAGCTGATGGAGTGGCTTCAACACAGGTATAACCTTCAGGTACTGTTTCCCCAGCTGATTTGATAATAACTGCAATATCTGTAATCGGAGCTTTAGGTCCAGTTGACTTAGTATCTAAACGATTTACTTCTTGATCTAAAAGAGTAGATGTATCAGTGAGACCTGCCACGACAAAGTAGTCTGTCACCCTTAGTCCTTTGTCTTCTATCATGGCTGCTATTTTATTTCCTAGAAAAGGGGGAAGAAAAAGACATCAATTAAATAAAATACTTTATCCCAACTCACTAAAATTATAATATACTGAGTTAACAATGACCAATCAGCACACTTCCCAGTTGGATTTATAATCGAATTGTCATTCTAAGAAGGACATTGCTTTTATTCTTTCAGCTTTTACCTCATACAAAGTACAAATTAACAGCATCAATTCATTTGCAACACAACTATGATCCTTTCATGTGCCTAAGGCTCTATTAAGAATAAACAAACTGTCAGAGGCAGGCTATGGTGCTTTCTGTTAAGCAAAATGCACTTAATGAACACTACTCAGACCATTTAAGCAATATTTCTCTTTTAACACATTAACTGCCATGTGAGTTGTATTTAACTCATGGTAGTTTTGAGCCTTGTGAAGCAAATCCTTGGAAAAATCCCTGCAGTTAGTTCATGAAAATCTTACCTGTTGATATTATTACTGTTACAATTAACACTGACAAATTAATTCTAAAAACATGGATTAAATGAATAGAAGTCAACAAATCTCGTTTTTTTTTTTTTTTGAGACAGAGTCTCACTGTGTTGCCTGGGCTAGAGTGCCGTGG